TTATTCCCATTTTTGAACTGTCTAAAGTTAGTAGAACCGGAAAAATCCCCTCATGTAGATTGTTACACGGTCTCGACACCCTCGGGACAAAGGAGCGGTCTTATCGGCCAGTTCTGGATGTACGAAGTTCGACACCCTTACGATGGGAGGCCGAAGTCAGGTAGGCACATCTCGGGGCGACACCATGGAAGAGAGTTCTTAGGAGCAAAGCCCGTTGTCATAGCTAGATCGCCAACGTCCCGTCGGTGCGGAGCTGTCTCCAGACCGTCCATTAGAAAAGAGTAATCGATCATTAAATGCGAAGCAGTTTTAGTCCTCAAGATAGTTTCGATACACTGTGATACCTGTTTCTGTCACTGGTTGACTGGTGTCCTCTGATCTGTCAGAAGGTCCTGTACGAACAGCGTATTAGCTGTCGGCAGAAACTGTACGTACAGGTAACATCTCTCTTATTCTGATTTTGACAGTCACCGACAAGTTACCGACTACTGTACGAGAAAACCATAATATCGACGCAGAAATTTCACGTTGTTAATGTATAAAATAGTGACTTTACTGGCCTATATACAAATTGCAGCTATAAGAATAACCAAATCACAGAGTCCATTAAATCCGGTTATCATTACACCAATTGCGGCATTTAGATTTAATATGTATTTCCAAACAAAAGCATACTATTTCTAGTATATTTATTCAGAATTTACCATGATGCGATATAACCCCACAATATCATAGCTTAAATAGCGTCCAGCCACGGTTATAATCCTATTAACTGTTATGAACGCCAAATCCTTTGAATAATTGTACTGGATCCATTTACATATAAATTACGGACAGTAACAAAAATACACCTCACCTATTTTACGTTTTTCGAATCCAGATTAATTTTAAATAGGAGCAAAGTCGCCAAGCGAGGGGTGCGAGCCGTTTTGTTCCGCAATAAATATAAAGTACTGAGATTCTGACATAATTTCAGGAATATGAAAGCCCAATAAGCTGTTGTTAAGTAATATTAATTGTTCTCTGCCTAATTTTTCTTGGAATATGCGGTTTTGGCTTCAGACCGACTTGCTGAGGTAAAAACGTAATATTAGTAGTTTCCACATTACCATTGTCTGATATTTCTTATGAAGGAGAATTGGGAATTGCTCTTCTCAGTTCCGCATAAAAATGAACTTGTGGGATCTCTGTTCACGTTTAATAGCCCAGTCACTACGTGACCGCTGGATGACTGACTGGGACCAAAAAGACAGCCAAACATGGGCAGCTGTTTCGTGTTTCTTGGCTACTCATCAGCATGGTCTAGGTATGGTCAGAATTCGAGATAGATGGCGTTATAGAGAATAGTTGCGATGCTTTTGTTCGTTTGCTCAGATACAAGAGACCAGGCCTAGATCATGCTGATGAGTAGCCAAGAAGCACGAAACGGCTGTCCAGAGTTGGTTATCCTTTTGTTCATACGACGAAGGCAACATGTTAAGATCGTTTATGGTGTAACATTATCTTCTAGTTTCGACAGAGTCTCTTATTGTCAACATATTTGAGCGGATGTAATATGGTGATCTCCTGAGTACACACATTCACTTCTTTTCTAGTAATAAGCTTTCATCCCACAAAATGAACACCAATATTCACTGTTCCTACATTATTAGCACGAGAAAAGCGAGATAGTTCACTATGACGGACCTATATATCTCAACCAGATGAAAATTCGAAAAAAATGGAATTAACTTTACTCCATGAATATTACAAGATATCTTCCAGCACCTCTGGAGGACCGAAGTACATAAAAATATATGTGTAAGTTGTTTTATAAACACTAAACATGTCTGCCTATTTTTTTTCTCTCTATCTGGTTTAACAGAATTCACTTTCTCATCCATATGATTCATTTGAGCCTACATTCATTTATACAGGGTGGTCCGTAATGTTTGCTCCAAGAAGCAATTCTGAATTGAATTCGTCAAGATATGCCCTATTGTTAGTATAACGTCGCTCATTAATAGGCTGCCAGGTGTGCGGGTCGTACCGATTTTCAGGGGTCTCTGGACGTAATCCAATTTGCTTCTGATCGGGAGAAACTGACAGTTAAACTCAGACATGATCATGTGATTATACAAGAGGGTGGTAAGACCCATGATAACCTATGGATCAGTGACATGGTGGACAACGACTACTCAGTCGGGAGCGGTAAGGCTATTAAGTGGCGTGGTTGACCTCCAAGAGTAATGCTCTTTCCGTGGCTCACAGAATCCAAGGCCAATCACCGATTAGTCGATAGCACGGAAAAAACATCAAAAACTATACGCGGTGTTGAAGGCAGATCAAATATTGATAATGCCCTATGACACAACTGTCCCAGCGTACAGTTTCGATAAGAACTACCAAACAAAACTACCAGAAAGGAAAGCTGGGAGAAAGGACTTCCTATACATGCCAAAAGCTACTGAAGACGTAGCTGGAACTGGGATTTCTGGGGCAAGGCCAAAAACTGAGATCTCTTTATTAGGGTAAATCGAGGAGAGATGAGGCACTTTTTTTCAAACTGGCCTAGATTCTGATCTTCAATAAAAATGAAAAAAACGAATCCAGATTTTTGCGAAGCAAAGTATTAGGTTTTCATTAGGAATCAAGAATTTGACATTAAAATTTAAGTTTTGCATGAATCCAGCTTTATTTTTTTCTTAACGTTGCGTCATTTCACCCTATGTACGTATATCGGAAAGATGACACAGAACCTAACGTGAGTTGACCCATACTTTTTTCAAACCACACTTTCCAAATTTAATTTGTGAAATGTGTTTAAATGTTTTTAAAAAACATCATGCCGTTATTTTAACGCATTCATTGCAAAAAAATCTGTGTTACAGCAAAGCGAACTTAAAAAATGAAAAGTCATTCAAACTTGAAAACACAAAAATAAAAAAACTAACTCTAAACAAATTAGAATTAGGAACCAAAGTAGTAACTAACAAATAATCTATTGATTGTATGTAATAAAAAATATATCTTTTTGAGCATTTGGCGTAAAATTAGAATTTTTCAAAAATCCAGCTTTATTTTTTTCTTAACGTCGCGTCATCTCACCCTATGTACACCTACCTATATCTGAGAGATGACACAGAGCCTAAAGTGAGTTGACCCATAATTTTTTCAAACTACACTTTCCAAATTTAATTTGTGAAATGTGTTTAAATGTTTTTCAAAAACGTCATGCAATTATTTTAACGCATTTATTGCAAAACAAATCTGTGTTATAGCAAAGCGAACTAAAAAAATGAAAAGTCATTCAAACTTGAAAACACAAAAATAAAAAAACTAACTCTAAACAAATTAGAATTAGGAACCAGAGTAGTAACTAACAAATAATCTATTGATTGTAAGTAATAAAAAAATCCAGCTTTATTTTTTTCTTAACGTTGCGTCATCTCATCCTATGTACGCCTACCTATATCGGAGAGATGACAAAGAGCCTAAAGTGAGTTGACCCATACTTTTTTCGAACCACACTTTCCAAATTTAATTTGTGAAATGTGTTTAAATGTTTTTAAAAAAGGCAGCAGCGGTGGCCGCAGTAGTAGACTCTTCGGTCTCCTGATCAGTCGCCGTGCGCTGTGCGGGTTCGAGTCCAGTCCCAGGAGAAATTTTTCTCTTGGCTATGGATGTTGTGATTGTTCGTACTTGGTAGACGGTCTCTGACTGTCGAACGTGGAGGTACCACCCGGCGGATCTCGTAGGCGGATCCAGAATCTGTGCATGTTGCATGCACACGTCTTCCCTTGCCAGAGTCCGTGTGGCATCCCCCCTTTCCCCTGTATCCCCCTATAGCCCCACGGTACCCAATGGGTGTTTAGGCCTTCGGCGTTCGTGGTAGTTGGAGCATAAAAAAAATCATGCCATTATTTTAACGCATTTATTGCAAAACAAATGTGTTACAGCAAAGCGAACTTAAAAAATGAAAAGTCATTCAAACTTGAAAACACAAAACTAAAAAAACTAACTCTAAACAAATTAGAATTAGGAACGAAAGTAGGAACTAACAAAAAAGAATCTATTGATTGTAAGTAACAAAAAAATGTCTTTTTGAGCATTTGGCATAAAATTTGAGTTTTTCAGAAGTTCAGCTTTATTTTTTCTTAACGTTGCGTCATCTCACCCTATGTACACCTATATCTGAGAGATGATACAGAGCCTAAAATGAGTTAACCCATAATTTTTTCATACCACACTTTCCAAATTTAGTTTGTGAAATGTGTTTAAATGTTTTTAAAAAAACATCATGCCATTATATTAACGCATTTATTGCAAAACAAATCTGTGTTACAGCAAAGCGAACTTAAAAAATGAAAAGTCATTCAAACTTGAAAACACAAACTAAAAAAACTAACTCTAAACAAATTAGAATTAGGAACCAAAGTAGGAACTAATAAAGAATCTATTGATTGTAAGTAACAAAAAAAATATCTTTTTGAGCATTTGGCATAAAATTTGAGTTTTTCAAAAATCCAGCTTTATTTTTTCTTAACATTGCGTCATCTCACCCTATGTACACGTATATCGGAGAGATGACACAGAGCCTAAAGTGAGTTGACTCATACTTTTTTCAAACCACACTTTCCAAATTTAATTTGTGAAATGTCTTTAAATGTTTTTTAAAAACATGATGCCGTTATTTTAACGCATTCATTGCAAAACAGATCTGTGTTACAGCAAAGCGAACTTAAAAGATGAAAAGTCATTCAAACTTGAAAACACAAAAATAAAAAAACTAACTCTAAACAAATTAGAATTAGGAACCAAAGTAGTAACTAACAAAGAATCTATTGATTGTAAGTAACAAAAAAATATATTTTTGAGCATTTGGCATAAAATTTGAGTTTTTCAAAAATCCAGCTTTATTTTTTCTTAACGTTGCGTCATCTCACCTTATGTACACCTACCTATATCGGAGAGATGACACAGAGCCTAAAGTGAGTTGACCCATACTTTTTGTACAATCTTCATGCATCCATCTCATACACTGATGTACTGTAACCAGTCTTGTTTACTTTTGTTTTGCTGTATTCCTCTTTGCAACAAACGCACATGTCAGATTCATCTTCACCACTTGTCGAATCATCATAGGTAATTTTATTATTTTTATCGTCAAGTTCAGCTCGTAAGTCCCTTGTTTCTTCTAAGGAATGAATCAAGCCACGGATATCCAGCCATACTTCTTTATTAGACTTGTGAGGTATATTTAATTACTCCGCTAAGCTGACTGCTATAGAACGCAACCTTCTTGTGGACGCAAATCCGTGCTTCTGAAGCTTTTTAATCCGAGCTTCAATTTAGTTTCGTTTTGTCTCACGAACACCCATTTCATTCGCTGCTATGGCAGCAACTGCAGCAGTTAGCTGTTGTTTTAACCATTTGCCACTAGAAACGCTTGCTTTTCTTATGTATTGTGTAGGCATGTCTGTAAAAAAGATAATTTCCCTTCGTCAAGAGCGCGTAAGGGAACGAGTGATGTCTAACTTCATTTTAAAATTCAGCAATAATACAACAAAGAAACGTACCAGTTGAGTTTGTTATTGGTTATTGGCCAACAAATATTTTTTCAAGTAAAAATAATTTTTAAAAGTGTGTCGACTCACCTCATCAGGAATTTCGCCAGCTGACCTTACTATATAAGGAGAGATGACGCATTAAATTTTGAAAAACTGGTTTGCTATATCGTGATAAACTGTTATAAAATAATCATAAACCTAATTATAAATGCGACTAAACTTCCCTACGCTACCTTATTCTAAGCTATAAAAATATTTTCGAAGTATCTTAAAGTGAAATTCCAAAAAAATCACCCACTCAAAAAACCGAACTGCACTAGCACCTCATTGAAAATATAATGGCGTGACTAAAGAGACGTCGCTATGCTGTTAGAATAAATGCGTGTTTAACGATACGACAAAAGCCACTCCTGCGTCATCTCACCTGATGCGCCAACACACCTCTATTTGCCCTATACACAATACAATATTCCAGGTTAAAGTAACGGCCATTCAAGTCTGCACAAAATAGCTAGTAAGAAATGAGACTGGAAATCAGTCTGCTCACACAGCCAGGTGGCCATGAAGGCAAAATTTCATCGCAAACATCGTCTAAACTAGTATGAGTTTGCGTGAACACTCTCAAAGAGCTAGGAACCCAAAACAAGGTAACATTGCTCTCGTTACCAGGATATGAAGGGCACAAAGGGAATGAAAAGGCGGTTGAGCTAGCCCCACAGGATGCGGCAAATCGCCTCATTGGTTCAGAGCCTTTCTGTGGCGTGACGAGAACACGCACTAAACAGTCCATGAGAAATTGGACCAAGAAAAAGTCCTTAGAATGGTGGAACAGCCAATTAGCGCAAAGTCAGGCAAAAGAGTTCATCAAAGAAGAAAGGCCCGCGTTTACAGGACACCTACTCGGATTTAGTAGGAAAGTCAAAAGGCCAATACTGGGCCTCTTTACAGGAGAACGCTCAAAATAGCACGCACCACATTACTAGCTCTATATGTAGATGTAGCTTTATTTTGTTTTTCCGCGATGTGTGTTTCTCTTGTGGATGGCCGATATCGTTATCCTTGAGTAGCTGTAATATCTAAATAGCTCAAGATAGCAGATTGGACTTATTAACACTTAATATACTAAGTGACATATAACTAACACCCAGTTTAAATGGTTTTATTTTAATAAAATTTTGTATAAGTACTTAATGAAGCATAAGTAAATGATAAAAATTTCAAAATGATTGCACTGCTTTAAAGCCCTTTGACCTTTAATAATGTGTGGATGCACCCTGATGTGCTACGCATTCTCCAACGCGCCTAGGCATGCTTCTGATCAGGTGGTCAACGTCCTCCTGTGGTATCTCATTCCAGGCAACCACCAACTCCTCTCGAAGTGCTTCTAGAGTCTGAGGAGGACGTTGCAAATTGAGCAATCTCCTACCCATCATATCCCACACGTGCTCAATTGGGGATAAGTCGGGAGATTTTGGTGGCCATGGTAACAATGTGACATCATTATGTTGAAAGAAGTCTATTCTGACTCTTGCAACATGTGGTCGGGCATTATCTTGTTGGAAAGTTGGATCTGCCAGGGTGTCAAGATAGGGTAAAAGATGAGGTTCTAGAACTTCATGGATATAACGCTGCGCGTTCGTGTTACCTCTGATGAAGATTAAAGGTGACCTGGAACCATAAGCTATTGCACCCCAAACCATAACTCCAACAGTGTGATGAACATGTCTTTCAACAAAAAACTGTGGATTCCTCCTTTCACCACGTCGCCTTCTAACCCTGGCACGACCATCGTGCATGCCTAAACAAAATCGAGACTCGTCACTAAAGACAATACTGTTCCATTCCTGATCCCAGAGTGACCGTTGTCTGCACCACTCAAGGCAATTACGTCGGTGTTCTCGAGTTAAAGGGAGGACCCAGTGTGGCCGGTATGAAAACAAGCCAAAACTTCTCATTCGTGGGTAAACACTTCGCATGCCAATAGGTCTTCCGTGTTCTGCAAACCATTCATTTGCAATTGACCTGGTAGTGGAGAAACGGTCCCTTAAGGCCAATAATCTTAGGCGGCGATCTTTACGGTCTGTTGTTCTACGGCGGCTTCCAGTGCCCCTTGCTCTTTGCGTACGGCCTTCTCGAAGCCATGCCTGACAACACCTAACCACAGTGTCTACACTTCTTTGCACTCTAACTGCAATTGCCCGAAAAGATAGTCCAGCTTCCCGAAGTCCCACTATACGGCCCTTATCAAACTCACTAAGTTGACGAAATGGTACAGGTCTCCGTACTCTAGGCATCGTAACCGATCGTAAAGGATGTCAAGAACCAAAATCCGCCAACGTTGATTCTTTACTGCGGCTGAAATATTCATTTTTAGAGCGTTAGTGAATAAAAAAAAGCAGTATAAAAACCGGAATCTCCAACTGATAAGGCTGAAAATTTTTTCACTTGTTATTTACAGTAAGATAAATACATTCACCAACTTTTATTAAAATAAAACCATTTAAACTGGGCGTTCGGATTTATATGTCACTTAGTATACATTTCTATTTCTACCATAGCCGTTACAAATGACCTGTTGTGGTTGATATCAGTTCATATACGTGTCGTAGCAAGAGTTGTTCAAGATAAGTTGAACACAAATTCGAAAACAAAATATTTTTTTGTTCCCTTCTTCAGGTCTTTCGGATGAGTGAACAAAAATGGTTCGGTGCTTGAAAAACTCTAAACTCGAGATTTTCAATGCTAAAGAACTCGGTTAAAAGTCTTTTGAGGTTGCCAAGTATCTAAATGAAAGTTCAAATCTTCTCCTACACTAGCCTGAATAGTACTTTGGGCTTAGTTTATTTTAAAGCGATTCATATCTGGCCCATTAGTACAAAATCATCACTTACAGCACAGTTTCAACTATGGCTTTTGGTGCATCTATTACGGTACACCCTGCAGACGATATGTGTTGTTCTATCAACGGTTGCCTTCACAAAGCCACATTTTCTTTATTTAATACTGAAAACAAACATGATAATCAAAACACGTCTTTATAAAAAGCTAAATATAGTAAATAGATCGCAACTGTGATCTGAATAATATAGACCTCAGACGATTTGTCATAGCCGCACCTCGGGCATAATCAAGACCATAACATTTGTCACTTCATACCTGACATATTCAGTATAATTTATTATTTTTTATCGCCACCAAGGTTATTTATCATGCGTTAGCCTTGCTCCTCCAAATCTAAAGGATATAAATTTCTTTGATTGCTGAGTTAATTTAGAGTGCCTGACTGCAGCTATAATTATTTGTTTTATTTTAATCCATCTGTGATTTATTCAGACTCATAGGGGGAATGAAAGATTTCTATTTATATGCGTCGTAAACAGTAACGATTTGCTTCAGTGCCGTATAGAACTGTAGTAGCATTATCATTATAGCGCTTCTAAATGGGAAATATGTTTCTAGCCCGGATATACTTTCATGTAGCTTTGTTAAATTTCCAAATGTCTATTTAATGAATCCTACTTAATGTAATGAGAGTAATGTAAGCAGCCGCAATGCGTACAAGTTCGTCATTTTTGCATGATTTTGTAGTCCTTCTGATGAGATATTGTGATTCAGGTATGTTTACACATTCCAGACTATATTCGGCACGATGCATGAAGATGCAGTAACAATGTACCAGCGCGATTTCTTTCACAATAGTTAAAGCAACATATATACAGGGTGGCCCATCCATGTGTGGACGGAATATTACTCATAAAGAAATACATTTAGGGAGAATCTATTTATGGCATGTTATACATAACATTTGAGGGCACACTTCTTAAATATTGGCAATTATACAGAGTGTCTCAAATTTTGGATAAATCAATGCAAAAAAAGAAGATTGATATAACATACTATGTGTTTTTGATAATTAGCTACTGAGAGGTTTTTTGTCTAGAAAAACCCCCACTTCGACAACCCCTTAGTCCGCCATTTTGAAATTTGGGGTAATGAATTTTATATAAAAAAACTTACACACCTCAGCTTTTATCTTATTACTTTTTCGAGTTTTAATGTTTGCTCATACAGGGTGGTTAAAAACGCAAATTGTAGTTTTTCTCAAAAATTTCAAATGCACCACCCTGTATATTTGTTCAAGTTTGGATTCAATTTTTATAAGCTTTTATTTGATACTAGACACATACCTAAGAGTTTTCACTTCTATTTTTTCGGTTATTGGCACGTCTTCTATGGAACGGCTTAATTCCCTAAAATATCGCATCATCCTTGGAAACAAATAAATTGCTGATTAGTTACAAACTATCAAAATTAACTTTGTGAGCATTATAATAAAAACATGTTTTTGGCAAAGCCCAAAGAAATAGTTTCCTAGGATCTCGCATTTACAAGCAAGGGTAGACTAAAATGCGACATCCAACGCCGGACACATTTTACACTATACAAGAACGTTTTGAATCAAGTGGAGCAGTGGAATATAGTAATAAATGTATAAATAATCCAAGTGTCACCAATGAGGCGAATCAGTTGGAGGTTCTATTAAAGTTGCAGGAAAAGCCCCATTTAAGTGCACGACAAATTGGAGCAGAAACTGATATATGCAGAACTTCTGTCCAACGGATTATTCATAAGCATAGGTAGTACCATTCTGGATAAGGTTCTTTTTAACGATGCGGCAACTTTTAACAGCATAGGTGTTGTCAACAGGCATAATATGCACTATTATGTGACGCAAAAGCCTTACTGGGTTAGGCAAATAGATTTACGAAATAAATGGAGCTTGAATGTTTGCGGAGGAGTTATTGGCAAACAGATTATCGAGCCTTTCTTTTTCGACAACAGATTAACAGGTACAAAATACTTGCATTTTTTGGTCGAGCATTTGCCTTTGCTTTTGGAGGATGTCAACCTGCCCCTGCGCATTATCATAATCGTGTGCGTAACTATTTGGACACCTGGAGTAAGAATCGTTGGATCGATCGTGATGGGCCAATATCTTGGCCTCCTAGATCACCAGATATGACACCGATGGACTTCTTTCTATGGGGCTACATTAATCAAGAGGTTTATAGATATCCACCATCTACCCCGGAAAATATGAAGGAAAGGATTAAGGATGCTTTTCTGAACATAAGGGAACACATGCTGAGGGATGCGCAACGGTCATTTATCAAAAGACTACTGCTGTGTATTCAACATGGTGGAGATATTTTCAAGCAGTTTTCGTAGATTAGGTCTTGAGTAGTGATAGTTGTTTGTTTATGTTGTTATAGTTGTTTTTCTCTATTACGCTTGAAGCTGATCTATACTGGTCTGATTCTTATTACCTTTTACGTCAGATCTGTACTCTTGGTGGCAATATGGAACTAGTACACTGTTTGTCCTTTTTTCATGGATGATGTGATTTTTTTCATTAATTTTGGTGTGTTGTTCTATTAAACGCTTAATAACTCAAAATCTGGTGATGTTATCTGAATCAAACCTTATATCAAAGAAAACCTTATAAAAAATTGAATCCAAACCTGCAGAAATGTAGAGCGCGAAGCATTTGAAATTTTTGAGAAAAAGTACGCGTTTTTGACCACCCTGTATGAGCAAAAATGAAAATTCGAAAAAGTAACAAATAGGGTAAAAGCTGAGGTGTGTAAGTTTTTTTTTATACAGAATTCAGCACTTCAAATTTCAAAATGGCGGATTAAGGGATTCCGAAATGAAGGGTTTTTCTGGACAAAGCACCTTTTATCTCAGTAGCTAATTGCCAAAATCCCATAGTATGTTATATCAATCTTCTTCTTTTCAATTCAATCCAAATATGCAATAAGATTTGAGGCATTCCATTTAAAAAATTACAACTTTGATATATAGGTCAAAATTGAGACACCCTGTATAATTGACAATATTTCAGAAATGTGCCCTCAAATGTCATTTATAACATGCCATAAATAGATTTTCTCAAAATGTATTT